GTATTCCATTCCCGCATAAATTAATACATTCATAACCTATCAATATTTACTATTCGCTACATCTGATACTTGACAGTAATAATTGTTCTTGTAAAGTAATTTGATCATAATTACTTCCAAAATTAGGAATATAATTACAAGTACCATCTTTTATATTTAGTATGTGATTTGAATCTTTACAGGATGTGCAAAATTTACTACTCTTCTCACATGTTTAGCATTTATCAGAACATGGGATACACGCCTTATTGTCATAATAGAATTCATCAAAGCATTAAATACAATTAATTGAATCCTTACAATTTTGACAGTTTTCTATGCATTGAAAGCATTTTCCTTGATCATCCATTATGTAATTATCAGAACAAGTTTTACATGTTTAAACATCAATACAGGATAAACAAGGGTTTTGACATTTTACACATTAGGTATTAAATAAAAAATATTGATCTATACATTCAGTGCATTCATTATATGAGTTACATTTAATACAATTTTAATGACATAATTCACAATGAAAATTAAGAATATAATAACCATCTTCACATATACATTATCCTTCTATAAGTTAAAACTTATCTAGACAAGATGTGCAAAAATCCTGAGTAAACATGCAAGTTAGACAAGAAGGTAAACATTGTAAACAATGAATAGAATTGTCTGTATAATAACCCTCTTAACAGTAACAGTTATTTTAAGACAGTACGTGATTAGGGTCAGGACACGATAAGCATTTATCTGGCTATTCAAAACAAGTAGAACATTATGGTGAACATTAAATACAATCAATTCCTACAGCATAATAACCTTAATTACACACACATGTGCCATCTAAAACTTGGTATATATTATCATCAATACAAGAGAGACAAGTACTCACATTGATTGAGCAATCAAGACAAGGATATTAACAAAGTGAACAATCGAGGCCATTAATTCCTGAAGATCCAAATCCAAATTTGCATACACATTTGTTATTGATTAAGTCATGATTTGGATCCAAACATTCAAGACAATGATCATTTTAGAATATACATTTTGTGCATGGGAGTTAACATATTTAACAGCTTTGATTTACTTCAAAGTAACCATCATTACAAATACATTAATTGTTAATTTCAGTTTAATTAACATCAATACATGTTAAACAATGATTTTAATTAAATTCACATGTTTCACATGGTATTGCACATTATTAACAAATTACACCTACTTAATAATATCCTTGTTTACAAATGCAATTTTTAGATGAATTTAATATTTGATTAGTATCAATACAGGATAAACATCCATTAATGTCACATAAGGCACATGGCTATATGCAGGGTGCACATGTATTAATAGTGTTTGAATAAAATGTGTCCTTACAAATACATTAATATAAAGAATTAATCTCATGGTTAGGATCTAAGCAACTATCACAGTGAGTATCACTCATAGAACATGTTTAACAAGGCCATTAACAAGGAATACAATTATAATTATCATCATTAACATAACCAGAGCCACAAATGCATTTTCCATTATAGTTATAGTGCTAAATATCTTTACATTAAGTGCAATAATTTGCACTTCCTAAACATTACACGCAAGGATTTAGACATGCTATACATATCACTCCACTCATAAAAAATCCAGGATTGCATTTACATTAGTTAAATGAATCTATACTTTATTGAACATCTAAACAAGTTAAACAATGGGTTGATGATGTTGAACAGGTTAAACAAGGTTATGTACAAGGTTGACATTACGGAATAGTACTAATTAATACTTCATATGTTAGATCAGGACAAACACATGTATTTGGAGTTGTAGTGCTCATCTAAAATTGATCTGCACAATTTAAACAATTACTAGCACTAATTTGACATTCACTACAAGGATATAAACAATCCTGGCAAATTAATTAGGCATTCATAAAATATCCATTGTCACATTAACAGTTGCAATTATTAGCAGATTAATTAGAACAAAAAAATGATGTAAATTTTGTAGGTTAATCAAT